GGTTTTGCGCCATAATCTCTCACTCACTCACTCACTCACTCATCAACATCAGTAAGCTGGCCAGAGCGCTCTGCTTCTTGAATATCATAGTCCTTGTTTTTGAATTTTCAGTACCAAACCTTCACAGTGTCATATGATACCTTATTTTCTTAAAGCTATACGCATGATTTGATGACATTCTGTAGCTGACTTTTTGCAGTGGAACTGGAAGTAAATTATAGTTCTGATCTGGTATCGTCATTGACACTTGTATTTGATGATAACGAAATTTTTTTTACAAATTTTGCAACACAGTGTTCTAAAATATCTCTTTCTTTCAAATGCCAAAAATTGTTTGACGAAATATGATTAAGCACACTAACGTGAACTCTTTCGAGTGGACGATATTTGCAGTGGTGGGAAACTTTTGTTAAAACTTGATATTTTGTGTTTATATACCTATTTAAACTGTAAACAAATTGGAATGCATCTAATTATGTTCAGTTTTTTTCATCATTATTGGAAAGGGCTTTGCTTTTAACAGTACTGACTCATGTGAACAGAGGTATTTCTTGTAAGTATCTGTTCTATGCTGAAAAGGTAAAAAATTGCAAAGCATGCTTAGGCTCAGAACTGTAGCATAAGACTGCTTAAGAAGTTACTTAATATGCATTTCCCCTAAAACAGAAAATTTATACTGAATTATGATTTTTTGTGTAACTGTGTATATTATATAAATAAATATTTAAACAAAATGATTTCTCTAATTTGCAGGAGTTTCTGAAAAAAGAATTCAGCCAAGAAAATATAACTTTTTGGATAGCATGTGAGCGTTACCGACAGTTAAAGGATCAAGCATTGGTAAATGTTTAAAAAAATTTAATTGAAGTTCTGAAATATAGTATTACATTTGTACGGGTTCATGGATTTGGAGCGATTGATGACAATTTTTTATGAAGAATCAAAAGACAATTTGTTTAGCCAGTGTTATTCGGGACAATTCCAAAATCATGTTTACAGTCGGAAAAAAAAAAAAAAAAAAAAAAAAAAAAAAACTGCAACAAAGACAGTGAAACAATCGGCAACACAGCCTTCAGGCTATAACAGTGAAGACAGCTTTATGGCAAAACATTAAAGTACAACTTCCGACTCGATCGATCATTCTCGGAGCTCAACACACTCAAGATAAAACTTGATGGCATACTCTCACAATGCACTGAAGATACACTCAACGATGCACTGACGGGACACTATTCCGCATACAAGCAGGGTTTATATAGTTTTTGGCCTGCCTTTGAGAACATTCTGGGCCCAAATGGTAAGAATTTGTTCTGGAATGTTCCCCACCCGTCTGTGGCATATCGCGAATTTTGTCGCCAAATGGACGATTTTGCGCCAAATCTGGCAACCCTAAACCCGCTTTCCAGGGAAGCTGTCTTACTGCTGTTGGGCTTTTTGTAACACTGCCCCCTCCCAAGGACTGCACGTCCCAGGCAATACAATCCTTGGTCAGAAGCCAAATTCGATACAAACAAAACATAATAAAGCAGACAAATAACTAAAGAAACAACTATTTACACTAAGTTACAAGTGATATACACAACCACACAACAATTTTAAATTATACAAATTAAAGTTCAGAATGAATTTCATTCTCGAGCCTTTCATTAAGTACCTGGGTTAAATACTTTTTCACTGCAGTTCTCAGATGTATTTCTGTTTTGCATATTACACTTTGAAGATTCAGTCCTTTCAGATTTTTCATCCACAGAAAGCTCTGAAACAGTTTGTTCACCACTCTGTAGTTTATTCGCATCATGTGTACAGTTCTCCTCGGTATTTTTAGCAGTTGGTATATGCTTATTTTCCTCTGTCTCCTGCGAACCAATTCCAAATTTTGTGTTAAAGTTTTAAATGGAACATGGTAAAAAACTATGTTACATATTTTATTTAAGTGTGTGCAGGATTCTGATATCTAGTGGCTGATTGGCAGATGTAGTTTTATGGAAAGGGTAAACCAGGATGTTACCATTTACTAACACAGGGCTCATACGGTCCTTAAGAGTCCTTAAATGTCCTTAGATTTTTTGGAATCGATTTTTGGTTCTTAAAAGTCCTTAATTTTGGCCAAAATCAGCAGAAGGTCTTTAATTTCAACCATCTGAAATTTCTGTCTGTTTTTACAACTGCCATTTTGAGTGTGAATTAGCATTTTAAGGAAAGTTTTGGCGTTTCATGAGTAACATTAAAATAAAAACATTTGGATTTTCGCTGTTCATATTATAAAGCTTCATTTTGGGCCAATTTATTATACATATTTGAATCTGAACAAACAAGGTATAATGCCTATAAAAGCACAACTTTACAAAACAGCTCTAGCAAAAGCAAAATTAGTAATTAATTAAAAAATGTTCTTCTTGTTAATTTTTGAGATAAGAGTTTTTTCCCATGTAATTGTATCAGAATTATTCAAAATTTCAGAATGTGCAAGTTTTCTCCATAAAATAAATTTACACTGTTTTCTCCTTTTTTTCCCCCAAAATATTCTGGCTTTTTGCGGGATGTTACAGAATTGTTGGGATAAGTTTTTTTAGGGATTTTAGAAATGCAGCTTGGAAAGTTTAGAAGGATTTGAAGGCAAGATTTATAGACACATGATTCTAGCAGATTCGAGAGAAATATGGACAAAAGGAAAATGTCTCCGGGATCAACCATGTAATGGATGTATTTTACAGAAAGTTTGTGATACATGTCTTACTTTTGGAGACCGTTGGAAGAATAATGAAAAACTTAATTATTTGAATGTTTTACCTTTGAATATAGAATTTTTTCTTAACGTGTTTATCTTCCCTTTATTTTCTCTTAGTCACTGACACAAAGCATGGAAAATATCAACAATGCTTCAAACTTATCACATGGCAAGGATTATAGAAAGAGATTTTTTTTTATTAATAAAAAATGAAAACTTACAATTTAAAAGATTCATGAATATGCCTTAATGCTCATATTACAGAGCTGGAATAGGCATTTTCCCACCTGATGCAATTCTGTGCGAGTCTAAAGTCTGCTCGTGCCTTTCTAAATATGATTCCAGGCTGCTCTAAATTATAAAAATTTTGCCATTCTAGATTTCGTGTTCAGTGTGTCACAAATTTTAAAAATTCTGCCACACCAGCTCTGTAAACGGCCTACCATAATATTTCATATTCTTCTAAATGTTCAGATTACTAAAGAAATAAATTGCCACTTTTTCTACTTACATTTCTAAATGCGTTTAGTGTTTTTTTTAGGATACACCTCCTTAATTACATCCAAAAAATTTTAAAATGAAAGGATAATTTGTTGAAGAAAGAAACTGAATACTAAAGGAAAATTATTCTTCAAAGCATATGTTGCAGTGATCATTACTTAAAATTACCAAATTGTTTATGCATTTTCAAACCGTACTATAATTTCCCATTCTGTTTCCTCATTGATTATTAGCCTGCGCCAGATTAATTAAATTAAATTGTATAACTGTGACCTTACCACACTTTTAGTTGCATTTGACTGTTCTGTTTAATTACGTAACCGTGAGCTGTAATGATTTTGTTAGCATCCAAAACATGTCTTAGGTTTTAAGTTTCTTTTTTAAATAAAAGAGGCTTATTTAAACCTTTGTCTGATATTGTAGTTATTTTTAGCCATAGCGATAATTGGCTTCACGTCTGTCAGGGGTTTTGGACTATTTAACTTTTACCAGATCAAGTAAACCCTAATAGGTACATTGTGAAGAGATCGACAAGTTAGGAGATAAAGCATGCAGAAACTAGTGAGAGCATTAGTTTGCATAATCAGACAAATATAAAGATGCTTAAAGAAAAGGAAATCGATATAAACTAACCAAAATATTTGGGAAGGCTTCGGATTAAAATGACACATATTTTATTGAGTGTTGTTGTTACAAAATATAAATGTTTTGTAGCTTTTTAATGTGTAATTATACTAATATCGTTTAAGAATCAATATCATAAATCACATGTATTTTAAACTGGGAAATTTTATTAGATTTGGATTTTAATAGGGCTTTTTTAACAATTATTGTTAAAAAATAAAATTTAACAGTGGTCAGGTAATTCCATAATGACTAATGTTATCTAACTACCTAATTTAATTATTTATAACTAACTGCTTCCCCTTAAAAATTATTTCTACATATTAAAGCAAGTTATTGCCTTTCATTAATACTCATACTTTCATTAATAATGTGGTCACAAGATAAAACACAAAAATGTAAAAATTCAAGTAAAACTTATTCTTTGCATTTAGTGAGACTTAAAATAATACAAAAACAACTTATACCTCTGTGCTTTAATGGCTTATTGGAGCCTTAAAGTCTATTAACTGGGTGACAAACCCTGGAAACTCTACACGAAGCCATGTTCAATAAACTGCATCAAACAGAGCCTGATAACTTTCAGCACTTGCCAATCGTGCCACATCAGGCATTTCTGTTGTTTGTTCTTATTCAAAGTCAGTGACAAATTCAGTTTTTTTTGTATGAATTTATGCTGATTATGATCTACTTTCATTGTAATCTATTGCCATTTGACAAAAATCTACCTGCTATTACTAAACCCTCTAGACTGACCAAGATTTTATGACAAAATGTGACAAAAAAAAATCAACATTAAAGCTAACTGGTTAGTAAAATATTAATGCACTTATCTTCTTCAATATGTCCACCATTATAAGGTAAAATATATTTAATGCTACTTAAATTGCATAAAGTTTATTTTATTCTCAAACTTTAATTAATTTCAATCTTTCAATGTTAATTCATGTTTAATAATAATGTGTCATACTTAGGGATCTATTTTATTTTTAGGATGATATTACAAAAGTGAAATTCAGGCATAGATAATATTTTTAATTGAATTTATTGAGTTCCCATTTGCTCATAGGTCCTTAATTTTTTTCATTAATGGTCCTTAAAAATCTTCCGTGTGCAGAAATGTGTATGAACCCTGTAAAACATTAATTTTGATAAGATTATTAATAAAAAATTGAACAAAATAATGAGCTGATTCAAATCAAAGAGTTAAGGAAAAGCAAATTTGCTGAACTAAGTTCTTCAGAATCTAATTCTTTCCCTTCTCCACTATTACATCAACAGAAAGAAACCAGAAGAGCAACATCTCACTGCAAATAAATTCGTCTTGGAGCATCATTCATTGTTTAGGTCAGATGAAAAATATCATGTCTCACAACCACTCAAGGGGAAAAGTATGGGCAGTTAATGTCAGTACATTGTCACTCAATGTATTGATGGCTATTGTATGATTCCCTTGCCAGCAGGTATTTGGAAGTGACAAGAGAAATCTCGGGAGGAAAATTGCTGTTATGGCACACCTGCTTTTCTTGAATGTTATATGCTCCATTCCTAGACTTTAAAATTGGAAAAAAAAAAAAATATTGCTGGTAGTCTGAAGGTCTGGATATTAGGTCATTCCATAAATTGGAAATTTGATTTTGGAGTATATAAAGCAATGTTAAGGTAAAATAAGAAAATGTTTGAAGTCATATCTGTTTGAAACCTAGTAATGTAATTACATTTGTTTTTGCATTGCATGTAGTTTTATGACTTTGTTATAATGGAATCTCACTGAGTTTACTGTGAGAACTGCCCAAATATTTTTCTTATTTAATGGGCCCTGTTCAGACCTGTATTGTATTTTGGTACGTACGCATTAATGAAACCACCTTAGTAAAAGTCACCAAATTTTCATAATGTGCCAAACTCTGGCAAAACTCTTTTTTGCCTTAAACGTAGTTTTAAAATATGATCTTGTAGAATTTGCTAGTAATGGAGGAAATTGCAGTAAAATTTCTGCAGGAATGCAAAATTTTCTTGAAAAGTTTCTAAAGGGAACAATGAGGAAATGCGTTTTTTAGATAGCCACTGTTGCCAATATTTACACTAAGCCAAGTCTCCACCATTCTCTGTTGTGTTTTTAAATAAAAACAGGTCACTGTGTATTTCAGAATAGTAAAAAAAAAAAAAAAAAAAAAATAAAAAATAAAAAGAATGTGTTTTATTTTTTAATGTATCAAGTAATCCTTATTTAGTAAGTAAAATTCATATTATAAATTTCTAAAGTGTGTTTTCATATGTTGGCAATATTTGCCGACTTACAATAAATGTCAGTAGTTTTAGAATCTTTTAAAAAAGAAATGAACCAAAAAGCACCAGCTTGCATCCAATAAGTAATTTCTAGTTTCATCAGTAAAAAACTGCCAAATTGAGCCAAGGTGGTTCCGTTAATACGCGAGTACCATATTTTGTTCTTAAAGCTGCCCATGGCTTATACAAATGCCATATAGATATTTGAAAATCAAAATTTAATTCTTGATATTAATCTGATTTTGCTGCAAACTGTAAACATTTTTGTTTTTACTGAACATAGCATACCAGCTGCGAAGCAGTAAAGTTGCTAAATAGTGGCAATTCGGTCTGGGGTTTGAATTCCTGTGAACAGGCAGGCTGCATGGACATTTTAGTGGTTTTCTCCATGTGTAATGTGTATACGAATCAAGTTTCTCTTAGAAAGTCCTCTACGAAGGCATTCCAGCACTGATGAAGTTAGCCCTCATGTTTTGCAATAATCAAATAAATCAAACCTTTACTAAGCATACTCAGCTGGTTTATTTTTCATATATTAACATAAATATGACTGTAAATATGACTTCATGTTTACAGTAACTCATGCATTTAGTTTATATATGTTAATGCGGTTGTCAGCAATCTTTTTTTGGATGAAAAGCAACCAAAATTTGTGTATTAAGAAGTCGTTTTTGGGTCAGTGGTATTTTCACTTTAAAACAGTCTTTTCTGGTGAATAACAAGATAAATTTTATTGTGATTTATTGAAATTTTATTTATTTGTGAATAACAAGATATATTTTATTGAAAAAGTAGTTACAAGAGGCTTTAAAAAGTTATAATTCTAATTATTATTAACCAAACATAACTGCATCAGTGTCATTTCTCTTTTCAGTATCAATGGGCAATGCTGAACTTGTGATGTAAATTTAGTCGAGTCTTGCTTATAGTTAGTCATCTTAAGACAAATATAAACATCTGAATTTTCAGTAGTTAAGCTGCTTCTGTTCTTCCTTAAAATCATTTTTATGTGTGAAAGTATTTGCTCACATTTATAGATTGAACCAAGCATGGACATGGCAAAGCCAGTTTTTTTTTAATTATAGGTTTACGGATAGGTGTTGCCAAATTTATTGATTTTTTCCTTCAAATTTATGTTACAGTTTTTCAAAATGCTTTTTCATTACTACAATTTTGTAATCAAACAAAAATGTTGCTTATTTTCAGTTTATTTTTTTATGTATTCTTCAAGTGCTTTCATAGTAATGCTTTATATTTTCTCTATATTGCATACTTTATTTTCGGCGTGGGTCATAACTTGCCAAGGTCTGAGTTAGTGACTGTATTTAGTATAAATCTATTTACTGTTATTTGATTAAAGTAGTGTAATAAGTGCTATATTTTAAAACATCATCCCTTCCAGATGGCTCAGATGGCTAAAGAGATATATACCAAGCATCTATGCATAGGAGCTTATGAGCCAGTAAATGTTGATAGCCATGCCCGGCAAGTTGCACAAGAAGGTTTGGATTCACCGACTCCTGAACTTTTTCTTCCAGCTCAAAAACAGGTATTGAGATTGCTAATTATTGTAAAAATTTTTATTTTCAAGTATCTACAGTGTTTCTAGGGAATTTTTTTTTTAACTTTGTGTGGTTCAGATAGTTTAGTAATGGTTCCCAGACAAAAGCCCACTGGACGAAAGCACACGTGACAAAAACCGACTGTAATAATTGCCCACGCGACAAATACCCACGTCGATGAAAGCACACATTGATAAAAAGCCCATGCTGATAAAAGTGCACATTGATAAAAGCCCACATAATCAAAAGGGACTTATGGTTTTTATTACTATAAAATGTATTTATAATTTATTATATAAATGGAGTATTCAGATCTGAATTTTAACTATGTCTAAATATACTTGTTTTGTTTTATCCCTCCTTTTTATTTAATTATTAGGTTGAATCACACTCTCTTAATTAGTGATAGCTATAACTTTCGAGATAAATCTGAAATCATTTTTATTATTTACTTATTTAACTTTGGTATGTGTATGTGAAAATGAAAAATATCATTGCAAAGCTCTTCATATGCTATTTTTAAGGTAACATGGCTGAGATTAAATGTAATTATGTTTCATGATTAAAACTATTAACTTTTTTATTTAAAAACACATGAATTTTGTTTTCTTCCTTTTTAGTTGTTCCTTTAATTCCTTTAATTTCTATTAATTCCTTTTTAGTTTAGTAATATTAAAACAGTTTTATGTAATTAAGCACAAGGAAAATTGGCTAAGAGATATTTTATGCTTTACTTTAGACTGAGCTTATCAAAGTTTAAACATATCTCTGATTGAAAGCTTTTTTGAATGTAACAATTATAATTTGGCAATTTTCTAGAGATATTTTCTTTTAGCTTTCTGAAAAATTAAAACTGTGACGACCCTTCAGAAATGAATACCAGTGTAAATTCTATCTCTCAACTACAGAGTTTGGAATACTTTTTTATTGATTTTATTTATTTTTTGCGGGAGGAAGCACTTTAAAGTCAGTACCACAAGTTTAATTAAAATACCCCACATTATATAATAAATATGTTTTTTTAGAGTTATGAAGTTTACAAAGAATAAGCGATAATAAAGCATATAATAAATATGTAAATAAATATATATTTATAGAGTCATCAGGTTCAAAGTTCATCAAAAGTTAAGTATACATATTAGTATATAAATTCATCATTCATTAATAGTATTATGTATAGTAATAGAAAATTAGTATTAATGTTTCAAATTGTAATTTTTTAATAATTTGTCTTGCATTTTGCTGTGTATTTGTTAAAGACATATGGATATCAGTTATGTGAAACGAAAAGTATACAGACAGCAGCTAATCTTATGTAACAGCTTTCGAACAGTGAATGAAATGGGAAAGGGAGAATAAGTGTGGACGAAATAACACTATTTCGAACTGGACATGAAAAGAGAAAGGATGGAATGGCACTAAGCCAAGGGAAGGCATGCCTTCATGGAGGACTTTTTAAAGGAACTCGCTCATATACATGCTACACAAGGGGATGATCGCAAGATCACCCATGCAGTCAGCCTTTCCACCAGGATTTTAATCCTGGACAGAACTACAAGTGTTCAGGGTTTTTACTGCTTGGCTGCTAGTGAGCCTTGAGCCTACATGAAAAGCTTAAGAATTGGATGACTGACACTTTTTTAATGTACAGCTTTTATTTCATTTTTATTAACTTTTATTCATTTAACTAATTATTTATTTCTTTCGATATTTATACTTTTTTCTCAGATTTATTTTCAAAAGAACAATGTCTAGAAAATATCGCGAAGCGAAAATAAATCATCAAATCTTAGATGAGATGTGTTCTACTACTCATAAAATTTTTTTTTCACCTTTAGAATGTGTAATGTTATTATCATACTGCTTATCTCATTTGTACTTATCTCAATCAATGCTCAAATTTTTTTTCCATTTTGAAATCAATCGAATTAAAAAAAAAAAAAAAAAAATTTTTTATAAAACTTACCTTAGTAGAACGTAGAATTTTATTTAATTTTATGTTTGAATCTTAACTTCAAGAATACAGCTAGGAAACAAGTTGTAAGGTCTAATCGGTCACAGGAGCATTCAAAGTGTCAACGGCCTTCTGTAAGATTGCTGGTAACTTCTCACTGGTCAACAGGGCCCACCCAGCGACCGAGCAGTAAAGTAACAAAATACTGGTCCCGCCCAGCGGCCGAGCGGTAAAGTAACGAAACACTGGTAGTTCGGTTCATGCTGGTTGCATGGGCGTTTTTGTGGTTTTCCCCGTGTGCAACTTGTATACGAGCCAGTTCTCTTAAAAAGTCTTCCACGAAGGCATCCCTGAGCTCAGGCTTTGCCGTAATCACATAAACCAAGCCAACAAGATGTTCAGTAACAATAGAATAAGGATAAAGGTTGAAACCTTTTATTCAACAAGACTATTTACAAGAGCACACCTTATGCTTAACATATAGACCACTGCTTGTTGTGTTGTGTATAAATGAAGGGGCCACCTAATATTTACCCAAAGTAAGTTGCATTAATCCTGACTAGAAAACCAACATTCAACCAAACCAACTACACTGACTAGAAAACCAACAACCTTCTGGCGTCCTCGAGTCATGATGAAATTGTGACTCTAGCCAACAATCTTTGCAAGTTCAACCACTGCCGGGCGTTAAATCAGATCAAGTAAAATGCATTACATTACATGATATACATAGCGATACAAAGTTGTACAGGTGGATGTTTTATGGCATGCTTTATGGCGTTATTTATTATAATGTGTACAGGCATCATGTTTCAGGACATTACATATTGCAGTAGATACAGGCATGATGTTCCCGCGTTACAAATCATTTTTGCAAACATGATTTGTTTACTTCAGTTTATACTATCAAAATTAAGTTAGAACTGTAAAAGTGTTTACAAAACTTACTTCATTCTGCATATTTATGCTTACTGCTTATATTTAAGGATTGATACTTTAACTACTCAGTATTGATGAAAGAGTTGCTAAAGTATCAGTACAACCATACAACAAAACTTAAATTGTTGTATTGATATTTTAACAACTCAATCGATAAAATATTGAGTTGCTAAAGTATAGGAGCAACTAATAAACTTATCATTTCAAGGTAATAAATTAAATAGTGTAGTAATTCAAGATCAGCCTAACAGGCTTGCTCAGACAATTAACTTATTGGCGCACTTAATGCAACAGCCGCAAATGGTTAGCAGAAGTCGGTGTAGCCAATACTCGCATTCCCTTTCAATCTCAAAAGCTTTGCCTGAAATACTCTTAACTCATTTGCACCCTAAACACGTTTTCTCACTAACTTATTTATATTCTGGTGAGGAAGCGGAACGTATAATTGACAGTAAGGGTTGAAATAATACATAAAAGGATAGTATTTTTTCCCCCTCCTTCCAGCATGCCTTCATGGTGTAACGGTTAGCACACTTGGCGCGTATTCGAGAGGTCCAAGTTTGAGTCTCGGAGAGGGCGTAGCTTATTTTCATGTCTTCTGTATTAAAAAAAAACCTAATGACTCTACAGTAAGAACTAAAAATCTGTAAAGCATAAAATTCTATATTTAATTCAAGTTGGCTCACTCTAGATCAATGGTTCTCAACAGTTTTCCCCTCATGTACCCTTTTCACCATAGCTAGATGATCATTCAGTCTCTCCTTCCCCAAACTTGAAAAGTGCATATGCAGTTATTTAAATGTAGATTTTTTAGTGCATTTTATAAATTAAACAAGTAAAAGTATAAAAATGTTGATAAATACCATAATTTGAACAAAAGTGGTTTTTATATTCATAAAGTAAATACTTAATAGGTAAACAAAAGGTTGACTGGATGACTACCTGAAACTAACCCCTTAGGGGTATTCCTCCTGATTCCTCCTGAAACCCCTTAGGGGTATTCCTCCTGATTGAGGACCCATAGGCTAGACGACTGAATTAGTTTTTAATTGTGACTGAATGTACAACTAATTTAATTTGTCATACATCTTTTATACTAACGTTTGTTATATAAAACTTCGGATTACATGCATGTTTTTTGAAAAAAAAAGTTAAGACACAAATTTAAAAAAAAATGTTTAAAATTTGATGGTGAATTCAAAAACATTTATTTGGTAGCCAGACCTAATAAACCTAAGAGATCAAATCTCAATTATACTTTGCTTGTTCTTACTAACTTCTGTTTAATGAATTATTCGTTCAGAAAACAAGATATTAGAAACTTCTGAACTCATTCAATAAGGGGGAAAATTATACAAAACATAGCTCCATAATCGTGCATTTTTTCTACCGGATCGCCAACACATGAGGTTTATAAAAAATATCTCCTACGAGTTATGTGGCCATTATTTCTGTGTTCTCAGAATACGAAATTCATAAAGGGAAAACAATGCATTTCGAGGTGATGAAAATAATGACCTTAATTTGATATTTTTTCTAAATAATAAATTTGTACAATATGTGTTTCTTTTTCTTAATCTAGGCGAAATAACATTTAACATGGAATAACATTATAAAACCCACAAAAGTGTGAGAGTGAAATTCAGTCTCAGAATTCCAGTGACATTCAGTTTTTACATGCTCTTTAAATTTGCTTCACTGAAAGTTTTTGTATGTAAATATTTATGGTAAAGTAAAATGAACTGATGTTTTTGAGCGTTTACAGTTAAACAAGTAACATATTCTTTTTTAATGTCCAAGATTACTTTTCTTAAAAAGCTGGACTCATGGTTCGTACATCCTCGTGTTCTAGAGTTCAGATTATTTCGTTATTTAAATTATTCGAATAGTTAAATCTTTTTTCAACCAAACGAAAGTTAAAATGAAAAATATTACTTTTATGTAGACTTTAATATACGTAATAATTAAATTTTTTAGAAATAGTTTAATAGTTTTACTCTTAAACAATGGTTTTGCTTCGGTATAACAGACATGTTTAATTAGTTCATCAAAAAGTTGTTAGAGTCACTATCGAATCAGGAACTAGCATCTTTC